CTCTCTCCATTCCTTTTTAACTTTGTGATCGATGAAATAATGAGACGAACGCTGGAGGGTCTCCAAAACCCTGGTGTTCAAATAGCCAGTGAAGAAAACCTTGTCTATCTGGAATGTGCAGACGACATCGTTCTCATGTTCGAAGAGGAGAAGACGCAAGTATTCTTGGATGAACTAACCAAAGTCATCCCATCCTTTGGTATGCACTTTGCACCTACAAAGTGTAAGGTCATGCTCGTGGACGTGCAGTCACTGAACACGCTACTTACAATTCAGAGAGAGGTACTGGAAGTTGTGTGGCGCTTTACGTATCTAGGAAGCCGTGTTTGTTCTGATTGTAGTGTGACAGACGAGGTGAATGCACGAATCTGCTAGGCTCGGGCCGCGTTTGCTAACTTGAGACACCTATGGCGTCAAAATGGTTTATCCCTGAATCTGAAGGGACGTGTGTATCAAGCTACAGTACGGGTTGTTTTGTTGTATGGCTGTGAGACTTGGCCTATTCGAGCAGCGGACCTGAGACGTCTTCAAGTGTTCGACAATCGTTGTCTCAGAACCATAGCTCATGTGAGTTGGTGTCGGCGAATCCGTAATGAAGCAGTTAGAAAGCGTGTTTTCGGTTGTGTGACGGGTACTTCCACTGAAGAATGTGTCCAGCACCAGAAGCTGCGTTGATTGGGATATGTGTTACCATCGTGTGAACCATCGTCTGCCGAAGAGAGTGCTGTTTTCCATGCCCAACTCAGAGTGGCGTAAACAGAGAGGTGGCCAACCCTTGACTTGACAGAGGAGTATGAAGTCTACAGACTTCATCAGTCCGTCAGACTTAATTAGTCTACAGACTGATTAAGCCAGTCAATTTCTAGGGCATGACGAACTTTCCTAGATCCATTGTTCAGTGAAGGGCTGTTTATCTCTTCTAGCTTGCAAACCTTTCGCAATCTCTTGAAGAGACACCAGCCATGAGCATGTGGACGAAAAAACGCCAAGAATAATTTGCATTCAAGAAGGCAGTGGAACGGCCGAGCCCCAGTTTTATTTCCAATGAAGGGAACAGAATCCTTCCCGGAAATGCATCCATGCGGGGAAGGCCTGGTGAAACAGGTATGAAAATAGCTTCTGTGCTCATAAAATCCTCCACCAAAAGCTGTGGGACAGATCGTTTGAGGCAGCCACAGTAAGTAGCCGTGCCGATGATACAATTATTATCATTTATCTACTAAAAGTGTGCACTTTTCAGCAAAGCTTCCATGATCAAACTGTTAGCATCCAGCTCATCGAGCCGAAGTAATAGGGCTAGAATTCATGCAAACTGAAGTCTGCTAAGAGATACTCGTTTTGTAGAACGTTGCACTTTCCGTGCGTTTTTGTCGTCAAACATCAGAACCCAAATAACCCTCAGGTAGCTTTGTGACGCCACCGTAATCAGCATCACATAAAGCTGCTTTTGAAATGCAACCTTCTTCAAGATTGAGGTGTGCTGTAAGTCGAATCCCACCGGATAAAGTTACCGATGAGATGCTTCTCTCTACATCTAGAATATGTGAGCGTGATTTACAGAAAGGTTCCACTTTTTTAGACATCTCTGTGCGTCCCAGTCTGATAAAAATCAACCATACCAGTCCACTGGTGACGAGGTAACGTGCAACCATTTAGGGGAAGTACGGCAGGCCGAGAAACACTACGCCGAGGGCGTTCAATAATTTCCATTAGTGTGCCTCCTGGTTGTTTTTGGTTCGCTGGACGTGTCCGATGCAAGTATGGCAACATTTTCTCGACAAAGACAGCAGCTTTTTTAATGTTAATCCTTCTGTAGAATCATTTTAAAAAGCTCGAGAGGCACCAAGGTTAGAAATGGTGAAACCTCTTCAGTCGAACAGCATCACAAATCATTCGATCTTTGGTCGAAACGCCTAAACACAACTCTAACTTGGTCCACCAAAACAACACTGGTCAAAAGGACAAGTAAGTTCCACATACTCTACGTTTGGTCAATAGATGGCAACTTTGTTACATCAGATAAACATTGTGTGATGAACGCTGAAGTGCACGGTCAAGGTCAACGTTGCGTGAACTCTGGATGTTGAAACGTTGCGCGTGTGGTGCGAACGTGAGAGGACATACACAGTACCCAAGACAGGCAATAACATTATGCGTAATCCCCCGGGACCGACACTTTGCATTGATGTTTATCACCATTATCATCCGACCGACTGTGCGTCGCACACTGATAGGTTTTCATACTCAATGTTCCACACTTTGGTCAAAGGCTATGTGCAAAACAAAAAGGGTGGCTGAACTTGTGTGGGTCTACGCAGCCCAGAGTCCGCAGTGCGGCCTCTTAGTGCTGAAAAATGGGTGCAATATTTTGGCCATTCTTGTCAAGCTTTCATTAGTTGTTTTGACTTATATTGGATGGGCTATTGAAATTTTCGGTCATCCCGGTCAGAAGCCTCTTACTAATTGAGAACTAGTCTACATGTTATTCTTCGATTGTCGCAGTTATTTCAAAAACTGGATTTTCTGGTGTGTTAGGTTTGTTCTATCTTGAAATCTCGAAAAACAGGAGAGGATTGATGTGTCATTTGTGTCAGACCAATTTTCTCTCCTGCATTAGCTCGGTTTCCTTCAGAGAAACTGGCTAGATATATATTTTGTGCTCAGTTCGCTAGCTTTCATGTATTTCATGCTTCCCGTTAGAACTCCGAAAACCTCGATGTGGTTTGCCGGTTCTCGGCTTGGACCAGTTTCCTTCTGTTTCAAGACGTTTCGAATGGCGGCGCATCAGGGAGCGATCCGGACCGCCTTCAGCTCCACTAACCATTTTTATCAGTACACTACGGAGATCTTGCAATATGTTCGATTAGATGTCCGTATCTACTTCTCAGGTTGGTCCACGCGGCAAGCGATGTCCACCCCACATCGGGACAATGGTCCTTGATATAACTCCTAGATCTGTACACGTCTTCCGTAATCTTTCACTATTGCCTTCCATTCAGACGATTCCCAATGGACTCATTATCTTCTTTCAGTTTTCAGAGGGTTTATCACCCCCCCCAGTACTATAATCTCTCCTAAACGGGGGATCGGGAGAGACCGGAAGCAGACCTCATGAGGACCAACTGTTGATCGTAGATGACTGTGAGATGCGGCTACCTTGCTCTCAACAGGCATAATCGGAGAGGCGTCACTCTCAAATTGATGCAGCTCGGTTTGTCCATCATTATTTCTCCGTCTGTTCCGAAACCGCGAATTTGTCACAATGTTCATCCAAGCTTTGTTGTATTACTTCTCTCCGGTAGGATTTATAACTCTAACAGCTTTCTTTCGGTGGCCAGAAGGTTTTGAATTAGTGTAGCTATGGTTTTCCGCAGTCCAAATTACGGATTTGTTTCTCTATTGTTTACCAGAAGAGTGTTTGATATACATTTTGTGTTGCAGATGCCGCATATTTCCCGATTTTTACTGACCCACTGCAAGTGTGTAATGTTAACATCATGACTGCGGAGCTCATTTCGGGTGATCAGCTCCACTCTTCGACCCAGAAGACTGGCCCACAGGGGTTTGGGCTGACATAACCTGAGGGAACCGAGAGTAGAGTATGAATATCTGATGCCGTTAGACTTTGGGTTCCAGAGAAGTATTTCGCCATACTTGGTAGTAAATCCTTAGTCATGACCGACCACTAATGATATCGCTGTAGGTATTCTGACCGAGTTTTTACGCCCATTCATTCGAACAGATCCATTCGAACAGAATTTGAAAAATACAACTTCTAAATGACACTAGTGACGTTCGGACCAGCAAGTTGGTATGAATGCTCGGAGATGCAATGCGGTAGATTAACTGACGGTCCTTTAGCGCCCCCCTAATTCCTTTATCTATGGCTTCATTCCAAATCCAGCATATCTTGATCGTGATAATCTCCAGTGTCATCATATTATCGTTGCGTCCAGTGGTCTCAATGTTCATATGTTCAAAGTGTGCGCCTGAAATTACTCCATGGTTTAGGCTAGATGCACCGATTTGCTTCTGCTGACCACGCACTCTACCTGTGCGATAATGTTTTGCGCTATTAAAATATTCAACCAGGGAAAAAAAGAAACCCTGACAAGTGATTTTCAGGTAGCCTATATCAAAACACCGAGAATCTGTGCACAATGTGCAGTCCCTTATCACATTCGTGGACTCGAGCAGATAAAGTAACGAAAATACTGGATCGGTCATTTCTTCAGCTGTCCCGTAAACACACAATATCTGTCAACCAAACAAAGCCGTTAACAGAGTCTAACGTCTGTCAAAACGAATGCCTGTGATCGTGAGTGGTTCGAAGCATTTCTCACTTCAAGGTAAACGCTTACTCTTCTTGAATACTCAGACTCACGCTTATGCCGGAACAATTTCCCGAATCTGGCTAGGGAGGTCACAGGTGGCTAGTCCATGGTAACTGTCACGATAAAGTTTTCAGGCTGCTTTGTGGTTTATCATGCTGACGTACCGTTATAGAATATGGTTTCAGATATGGGATGGCGTTGGAAAACGGAGGGAATTATTCTGGTCGAAGTGATCAATATCATCAACATGGAAGATAATGCTACGACAGGTATAGTTCCATGCATTCAGCAAATTGTTAAACTCATGGAAAATACCAACTCATTTGATATATAGCTAGATAGTTTGCTTCATTCCTGAAAATAAAAGGGTACCGACTTTCAATGCAGTTTTAGGAAAATGACTTCGTATGGCTCGAATGTAGTACCATCTAGCTAAAATGCTCCGAACAGACCAAAACTGTTCTTTCGTGTACTTCAATTTCTTCGGAACGCCTCTAATCACAGTGACCAGAAATGAGCTTATTACACTTTTCACCATTTGTCTTGGTATCAACTGTTTGACCAACACGGCTTAGGTAGGTGAACATATCTCACTGAAGCGGAACAGGTTCGAAACCCATGGCACTTTACCATTTTCACTAAACAATGCAAATGTTAAAATAGTGAGACTGAGTTCCGAGCGAAACTCAGTGTGAACCGAAGTGAGGTAGTTAAACTTAGATATACTTCGGACATCCAACTCATTCATTACTGGTAGCTGCATAGCACAGGTGGCAGTACCTTTAGTTGTCTATCTGATAGGTTGATGCTGGTGACGTTTGAACAGTCCGAGTGAGCAAAACAAACCTCAGTGATTACCGATTCACGAACACTCAGCCCTGCGTAGATGTTCTCATCAAAGAAGGTCCACATTTTCACAAGCGAGAACAAAAAATTTCTCCACTTTATATTAGGTCCTTTTTCTAAATTGGGATCCCAGGACCACCGGAATAGATTCTTTCACGTTCTTTGACATAGTGTAAGAATTATGCGAATTTTCCGTCAGTTTCCAAGCTTATTCCAAACATGTTTATACTGCTTTTTTGCTGATGAGTTTACTTTCAAACATACGTTTTAGATGTATACACGAAGTGAAACTAATATATATCATGTCAATTTGTGAACTCATTCTTAATCCTCACAACCCTGGGGATAAGTGGATGCAACGAAATATGGAAACTCTTCATGTATTCTACCATACTCAGCTAGCACGCTAAGAAGTTGCCAGTATATTTCCCCGGCAGAATGTGACTACCTAGTGTTCGATTCAATAAATTACTGATTTTTGAAGATGCTGAATGTCGAAGTTAGTGTGAGTAAATTGCCTGATGGCGTGCCAAATCATCATCAAAATAATTAATATACATTAGCACTTGATACGGGAATAAAATATATGCAAACTGGTAAACGAAAGGAATTCTATTCTATTATTTGCCAGAGAGGAATTCGCGAGCTATTCCGTGCATGCCATTCGTAGGCGGATGAAATATTATGTTCACAAACGTGTGATTAAAAGGTTCAGGAATCCAGTGCCTAGTCTTCTGATACAACACATAAAACTCATTGTGGGCCGCGTACCCTACTTGCATTTACACAACTCTGATTCAATGATTTCTGAGGTTCATTTCACCAACCTGAAAGCCAGTCTTGTTCGTATGACATTTGTCGTGCTAGAAAACTCAGTTAAGTATAACTGCCTTATGTCCACCGGATCAGCAATGCGCTTCAGCGTGAACAGTGGATGCATCGCTACATTTGGATCAAATCCTCTGCTGAACCAGAAAATACNTGCTGAACCAAAAATACTGAGTATTAAAGACTAACAAGCATATTGTTCGGGATCAAACTGTTCACTCAAAACAGAAGAGGAGGGATTGCCCACCCAAATCCGTACTCAAAACATCTCCTCGGGTGTTGACGAAACATTTGAAATGCACTCACAAAGCACCGTGAACAGATCAGTAACGCAGAATGTGACAGATATTGTTTGTCCTTGTTAAACGTTGTGTTCCGGAAGATATTTTGAAACATAATGCCTACCAAGTTTCTGGTGTCCATTCAGAGCTTCTAGTTCACTCTACCTTTTTCTTCAGACGAATCACCCGATGTGTGGAACTCCGCTTTCGCCATGATTAAGAAGACCATTGAGAAACTTTTTCTTGTTTCATTTCCAAGCGTCAGTTCACACTTGGGTTAGTCTTTACTGGTGACAAGTGCTAGCCTAGAACAATATTCTATGAACAGCATAGATCAAGAGTTCTGGGAAAGAGGGAAGTATAATAGGAATCGTCCGGACAATAGCATCAAGTAAAACTCACGAAATTTCGGAGTAGCTCACGTGAATAATCAGTGCATACGAAAGTCCTAAATATTCGTTTCCTACAACCTAAAACCGTATAGTCATTTGAACAGATTACGTATCCTATCTGTAGGATAGTTTCAACAACAGTTCATTCACAGTACAAATCTGATCACTTCATAGAATTCAGAATAATCAGACGAAAGTCCTAAATATTCGTTTCCTACAACCTAAAACCGTATAGTCATTTGAACAGATTACGTATCCTATCTGTAGGATAGTTTCAACAACAGTTCATTCACAGTACAAATCTGATCACTTCATAGAATTCACAATAATGATCTGTAGACTAAAGCATACCGAAATGCAACCTGTGACCACAATGTCGAAGTTATTCTAAAGTAAAGATTTCGGACTACACACGTTAGTCAGCTGAACATTTCGGGTTCACAACAAGATTTCCAGCACGATTTTCTATTGCACGTATGTCTGCACGTAAACAGAGGAAGGTGTTGTGAGTAAGGAAAATGAAGAAACACGGGTAAAATTAGCATTTGTGAGCGTGTGTAAAGTGTAAGTGTGTAAAGTAAGAGAAACTGATGGAAAATATTTCAAAACACTTCAACGCACAGGTTTCTTCGGTCCCATAAGGAAATACCAATGAGCTGATACCCAATACGACTTGGTTGGATCACAAACATGAGACGGATTCATTGATATACGCACATGATTTGCCAAACAAGGCCAGATCTGTATGTGATTATGGCTATGCCCTCTGCATGACTGTTGTCAAAATAATTCAGATGAAAGAATGGATTTGGTCGCCAAAAACGCATAATGGAAGGGCTGATCGAAAATGGTGGGTTAGGTTATGAAAATTAAAAGTGGAAAGAAACACATTTTTACCAAAATGTACATTTGTTTAAAACAACAGCGACTTTGAAAATATCCCAAGTGTTTCTCATCAAACGACCTTGGTGGATTTGCGAATAAATTTGAATCAGATTATACGATCATCTGGCATCCAACTCGTGGCCAAGAAAAAGGCGAAATCATCCACCGCGACAAAAATCCATTGTTGTTGGATGCATTGGTTCAGACAACCACCAGTGTATATGGGAAGCGAACGCATACAGATGAACCATTGAGCTCTCAGAGCAACAAACAGATGGACCACACAAAAACAGTTGCATTCAAAGTCTACCCAACAGAGGGAAACCGCTGTATGGTACAGCAAAAGTGAAAGGAGAGGAAAATCTTCTACATACAGTATTGCAAAATATCGCACACCCAATAAACAGTACCGGGTAAATCTTAGAGTAAAGGAGATATCAGCGACAGCAACCAAAACAGGACAGACAGGTGAGCGAATAGTGTTACCTCTATCAAAAACGCATCTAAACTGATGTTGAGAGTATTTCGAGCACAATACATTTCGGTGCGCCACCTTGATGAGACTGACTTCAAAACCAAGTGACGGAACTGGTCAATGTTATCTAGCAGAAAAGTGTGGCCAATCCAACAAGCACTGCACTGGACGGAACAGTATGCACAAGGCGACCATGAGAAGGAATGTTCCGCTTTCTTGGACTATCGCACATGAAGATGAAGTTTACCATGTCAATATGAGAGGCGTGACTATTAAGGCGTTCGGAGTTGACCATCAGGTAAGGAAATTTCTCGAGGGATTTCTAGACCTCAATAAACCAGCGTGGTGAACTAAACGTTTTTTCTTTTAACTCCACGAGCAAGGAATCACAAACTAAATGGGAAAACGCAAACACGGCTGAGCATCAAAAAAACGGATCAGACGAAAGCATCAACCGCGGGATAAGTTCATCATAGGTTACAGGATGCGAACCAGAGTTCGGCTATACGAAAGTATCTTTAAAATTCCTCATACGACTACTCAGCGGACGACCACATACGGAGAGCTCTTCCACATTTCTCAAAAATACACTACTGAAAACCAAAATTTTACAGCCAAATTGTCAAGATCAGTGAACAATAAGTCCACCATATTTTACTTCCATTTCCGTGAATCGATCCTCTTGGAAATTATGGAAACTATTTCTCCCGCAAAGCTGCTGGTGTCAGTGAGTCTAACAAGTAAAGTAGGTGTATACCAAACTGCATTACAAACCTGAATCTTGGCGGGCAGCTCGAAATATCCAACTTTATGTTGGACTACACGCGATCCATAAAAAGAGCAACAACTAAATCTGCTCACTGCCAATTTCGCTCTGCTACCAAACAACCTTGCTTTGATTCTAAGGCAACGGATTTATCTACCTAACTCAATATTTTTATGTTGCGAAGTTTCACTGTCTATGAAATAAAACACATTTTTCAGGCAAGTAGGGGGTGTTGTGGAGGAGGAAACCCCATGTGTTTTATACAGCAAGCCCGATTCCCATCTCGGCAAAGTTCAATAGGTCGGATAAAAAGATGACAAACTTCTACGGAGATGCCTTTTGCAAGTGACTATTCCAGTTTTGACCGGTCCCACCAAGCTTCTGTTATAGCCCCTGTGGGATGCCTTTGCATCGATCCACTTTATCTCATTCGAACAAATCGAGGAATAAAGACAGTGAGTTTATCAACATGACTTATTTTACTTTCAAAGTTTTATGAGTATCAAGTCTGGATGTACGTATTATCCTAATATTAAATGACTACTAAAACAAAGCAACACAAACCAGCGCACTTCAGCTGCAAAAGTACACACCAGCGCGGCTTGTGGATTCAGACATGTTTTCCTTTTGGTGGTGGCTTAATTTCGTATTATTATATGCAAGTGACATGTACGTTTCCAACTTCTCGTGAAGCAAATTAATAAAGTAATACCGTTTCAAATAAACTAGAAAGTTCACTCCACGATTTGTTAGGTGCGAATAAAAGTTTTCTGGGGCCGGGCCACTTGGCGTGCTTGAAAAGCAGATAACAGATGTCATTATCACCTGTTCAAAGAAACCTCGAAGTTAGCTGTACTAGAGCGCTTGGGTTTGAATGAGCTTTAATAAACAATCGATTGGCTTGACGATGAAGCAGATGGACAACGGCTTTCCCTAGAAATCCTTAGGCAGTATGATAAATCAAGAGGACAGTGGTTGCATTTTGTTTGTTACACAAAGCCCTCTCTCGCATTAGTTTCGTTTCACTGCAGTGCGCAAAAAGGTATTTGTCTTTTGAAGAAAGTTTTAGTGGTTCTGGTTGTATAAGTAGTGATTGTTCTGTCGGCTGAGCTTGGAAATTCTGTCACAAAAACCTCGTCGTCAACCTGTGTGGTAGAATATTTTGCGTCGTTTTTACGATCAAGACTGTGTGTAGGCGTCGCGTCGTGTAGTTTCGTGTATATGTGGTCTATGCTAGCCAGACTTCACCTTTGGGTGACACATTGACGCTTCGATAAAAAAAGAACCAGTGCACTCTCCCGCGCACCGATAATGTTCTCCTCACTGATGATGAATACATTGCAACCGAATTACTTGGCTCGATAATCAAGCAGTCCCTTTGAAGATGTTCTATGCTCAGTGAGTGTTTCCTCTGATTTCTGCTTTGTGCTTGATATAAAAGTATCTCAGCTTACCTTACCAGCCACCATCTATCTCAAATTTCCTTCGGTACACTTTGTTATTTTAAGACGACACATAAACGCCGTGGAAAATAAGCAAAGTTTCAAGGCAGATATTTCTGCACATCCCAAAGGGTTTACTGCCTTAATAAACTTCACCATAACGCGAATCTGGTAACCAAATCTGTCACAAAGTGTGGCGAGTCTTAAAATAGCCGCAGATCAACTTCGGGTTCTTTCAAACTCGCCGTTTACATGCTCAGTCGAGAATTTATCGGCCTCTTATACTGCTGTGGTGTATCAACACAACTATTGATCGCACTCCCACGGACAACTTAGCATCAGAATTGTATAAGAACAAATGGCGCGTGACATTAGGCAAAGGTTGTGTTCCTGACCACTAGTTAAAATTTTCACTCAACCAGTGAGCTGGCATTCGCACCAAATTAGCGTTTACTGATTTCCTCTACTCCAGGAAAGTTCCCTGTTGCTGACAGGCACCCGAAGTCACATCGGCATCCAAAGTGAGGAAAACAATTTTAGGTCATTCACCGGCACTATCTTCCTGAAGAAACAGGGATCCTGAATTGAATGACTGTACAAAGTTGCACACCAATTTTCATACTCTCTCTCGTTTCACGGTAAACACTGCTGCATGCCTATTTCACTCGGTCAGCTAACCAGAGATGAAGTGCTCCTGCTCTCCATCGACTACGCACTGACAGAATAATCATTTCAGCATTTAACCGAATCAGTCGATGAATCAGGCCTGACCAAACAGACCGGTTACTACTTCGCAAACCGTACAAAACAATTCAGAGGCATTGGTGGCCGTTTCCATTCATCAGTGCGCTTATTTGTATCTCCCTATTCTTGTAAATAGGGGACACTTCCGATTGTGACTTTCTCGTGCAGTGCGAATTCACAGAGCACACAGACGGGATGTGACAATAACGAGCCCAAGGTAACCTGCACCTGCATCTAACTGGTTAGGTGATTACTTTCTTACTCTAATTGCCTGAAGGCCTTGGCGGTATCAATTTCTCTCAAATTCAGTTAATGTCACAGTGACCTCTCCAGTATTCATCGCCATTCCACTGCTTTCACTGTCCTTTTAAGAAGGGCTTCTTTGGTGAACTGTCTGGGTATTAGGCTTTCTGGTAACCTTTGTTGGTCTCTTTAAATCAAAGTTGTTTTCTGGAATCCAACGTCAAACTTTTCCTGCCGTACTACTCATACTGTTTTCCGTTCCCTTCAAACTTCTTCAAGGATCTGTTACTTTTTGTATACTCAACTACATTATTTATTGTTCATCTTTA